CAAAAGGACCTTTAAACCGTGTTTTCAACCCAAAAGAAGGTTGAAAACACATTTGAAGCTGGACAAAAAGTTAAAAAAAGAAGTGTTGGAGAGTTCACGTTCATTAGATTTTGCCGTGTGATGCAAATTACTACCCGCCATTTTACAGCACAGAACAGACTCCAAAACCACGATAAGACATGGATTTTCTTACACCGAGGACAAAGAAAAACAAAAACCTTGGTGTCTTTTGTGTAGCGAAGTGTGCAACACAACAGTCAAAACTGAAGCGCCATTTGGAAACAAAACACTGTTGATGGAATCAGTTCGAGAAGCATCATGTTGCTTAGCAACAATGGAAGTCACTCGTGGAGCTATCATGTGACAGCTACCACAAAATTAAGTTAGCAGAGATGAGCCTCAGATAAAGACAAGCCAGAGGCAGACCGGACATTGAGCATGAGGTCAGAGTTATTTTCTCTACTTTCCCTCCAGTCTTTGAGACTGTTGTCAGGAAAAAAAAAACATCCCCAGATCTCCTAGTAATTCCTCCATTCTCAGATGTATGCTGTCAGTGTTGCACCTTAATTTCCTCAGTGTTGTGAAAACAATCAAAACTCAATTTTGTATACTTAAATCTTGTTAAATGCCACTTTTGGTTCATTCAGAGTTTGTGGAAAAAACTGGAATATTGGTTGTCGTATATTCAGAGTATTCTCAGCTAATTCATTGTGTCTAATTTAAATTTCTGTAACGACAGATTCATGTTATAAATAAAATGATAAAGATTTATTCTGAGAATATATACTTCTTTCCTTCTCAGTTGCACTTTTTCATGCCATGTGAAACCGTAAACTGAGGTTGTTAAAAATGACTGTATCAGAAATATATTGATTGATATGACAGCCTTATATTTGAGGGATTAAATGACCATGAATAGTTTTACGAGCACTTGTTATATTCAGTGATTAGCTAATCAGCTAAAGTAATTTCTTTCTGAGTGTTATTGGAATCACTTCTCAGTTGTTACGCCTTATTTCAAGTTGTAAGAACTGTCATATGCCCCCAACCGTCTTCTCATTGAAAAAAAATTGTAGAATGTTTTCCTCAATTTGGGTCATGGCTTGTCATTTTGGGGTGATGGTGGGACTGGAAACCAGCCAAATTGAGAAAAATTAGACTTTTGGTAATTAACATTTAGACTTATTGTGTGCCTTAAGAATGAAAAATAATATATATATATATATATATATATATATATCAGCAGATCTCAGTGAAAACCTTCTCAATTGAGAATTTGTTGCACACAATACTGCAATTATAGCAAGTAAACATACATGCTACACGCACATGACCACAGCACCATACTGAAATGGACGCAACCAGCCAAGTGCACACTTTGACATACTGAATCAGTCCTGACTGCTCTCAAACCTTGTTCCTAACCCTTCTCCCAGCACACTTCCTTTAACTGACCGCTCTCATTAGTCTGTGTCCAATGTACCTTCAATGCACACAAATAGGTGCACTTCCTCTTACAACCAGACACAATGGTAATTCGGACTTTCGTTTTATGTCAGTAATCTAGGAATTGAGTAGATTCTTCCTAAATTCACTATGTGTGTTGTATGTATTCTATATTTAACTGGGTCACTTCTTTGCATTAACTGTATGCTACTATGATATTTTATCTCCTGTGTCCTTCCATTTCAGGAGGGCACCTTGACATGGAGCCAAATGCTCTACTTGCTGACATTCTGCTTTTGAACATTTGACTAAATCTAGAAAGTTCTAATTAAAAATGTTGTCTTATTTTTTTTTCCAGTTATTGTGATATTGGTATCTGCAGCTTAAATTTTCCTTGTCAAAATGAGCAGTTACTTTACAATACAGCGTGTCTTGTTAACAGTTATTTCATGTGGGTTTTTTTTTTAAGAAGTGCTCCTTTTTGGTGTTGTTTTTTTCTTTCCCTTTTTTGAAGAGCATTACCTTTGTGGCACATTATGACATCGTTGTTTGGTATTCTGAGAACAAAATGTGAGTGTAAGGACACAAAAGCTGAATGATGTCTTGTACAGAAATGTGATGCATTAGCCAGATTACATAAGGTATGAGGAAAATAAGTACTCCCTGAGGCAAATAAAGCATTCACTGCAACCCCTTTTATTCTTGAGTATAACTACTTCTTCCTTTACTCTGATAGTAGTATGATAGAAGGCTACATCATAGTATTTTTGTTCCATAGCTTACATATGCAATATTATCATATGAATAGTCATTTAAACTTTAAAAAATATCATTTTACTGTTGACTCTCTGTTGTGTTCTTTAATTCTATTTTGAGTGTGTGTGTATGTGTCACTCGCTGAACTCATGGGCTGTATGGAATAAAGACGTGAACATGAGATGAGAGGAAGGACAAATCACACTGCAGATTGCTACTACAGCTAATTCCACTATCCATTACTTTACCGTAGATGTAAAAAAGATACAAATAAAAATGTATCTACCAAAACATTTCTACATTTCTCTGGTCTATATAATTATATACAAATAACTTATTTTGTTCTGTTTGAAACAATATAAGGATCATGTGGACATCGACAACAGGTCAGCTTGCTCTTCAATAGTTTTCTTACCACGACCAGGAATCTAAATCCTAAGCCTTGCTTTTAACTCCTAATTCTAACCAAACTTATGGAGAGTTTCCTAACTTTGCATGTGAAAGTGAATAAAGAGGATGTAAAAAAACAGGACAGTGATTGAATGATGTCAAACGAAGCTTGTGGATTTTTCACCACCCACCAACCACAATAAAGGTTTTTTTCCTTCTTCTAGTAAAAACTTCCAAAAATCAACAAGATTGCTTTGCAAACATCAGTGTTGTCAAGCCAGGACAGGAGTAAAAACATCATCAGCACCACTGGCTGGAAAACAGTAGAGAATTGAGTCTGGAAATTGCAGCTATTTACAGTCTTTGAGGCATTTATTGTGTGTTTTTAAGCGGACCTGCGTACACATTGTACGACACTGCCATGAAAAATTATTAGAAATTATTAGAAATCTTTGCTTGCAGCCATCCATGTGCGGCTCTTTGTCTCTGAAACTGCACAAAGTGTCTATCTGGCACTGTGGAGCGGAGCCAATAAGGGCTCCCCTTACACGGCAGGACGTTACGGGCACAGAGGGCTTCTCCATCCGTGCTGGCGCATCAATAAACTGATTCCTCATAACCGTCGGGTGACCAGAGGCTTCGGAAAGTAACTTTTTCCTTCTTAACAGATTGATGTTTGCCTGTACTTCAGGTCACACCCGGCGGCGGTCCCAGCGACGGGAGGGAAAAAAGAAAGTGGGGCAGGTGTTAAAGGAGGGAAATACCGTGGGCGAGAAGGACAAGATAAAGTGGAAACGGGGGGGGGGGAGGACAAGGTGAATGGCTGCAGAGGGAGGAATGGAGGACAGGCCCGGGACACTTTTGTGCACGGAATTGGCACATCTCAGTTCATATACTGGCAGGTAGAGCCTCCGTGTCTCTGACCTTGAGTGCTTACCACTGGACAAGCATAACTTATGCCAACTCGACATAGTGAGGGAGACGGAAAGAGAAGGAGAGGGGTGCTTGAGTGGGCACAGCGCTGACCAAAGCACATCTCCGGAGGAAATCACCCCCACCTACGGGGGCGTACACTGCCAACAGCATTAACTTCCAGCCCCGCTCCTTTTTTTTTTTTTTTTTTGGCCAGCACAGCATGTAATCAAGCAAGAAAGCAAGCGCTGGCAATGTTTGTCTGATGAGTCTGTAAATGGCACCTCTCCCTCTTTTTTTTTTTTCTCTTCTCCTCCTCTGCTGTGTGGATGCACCACATTTTCCTGTCCTTTCTGTTCCTCAACTCTGTTTTCATCTCGAAACATGCATCGGTTTAATCTAATTTCTTTCCCGTCAAAGGGGAGCGGGGGGGCTTTATTTTGTTTCCCTTACGTTTGTAATTAAAAAGAAAGCCATTGATTCTTTCAAAAGCTTTCAAAAGAAGATAAATTGAAACTGGGGAGACAGGAATTTGGTGAGTGGAGGGAAATTCGAGAAAGCCCTTAGAGGAAATTCTTAAAACAAGTCAAATTATTAATCTTTTTGTAAGATTTCTGCTATTTTTAGGGATATACCTACAACGCAATTTAAGCTGTTCATTTTAAAAAGTCATTGAAATAATCATTGGAACAATAAAGCATTTATGTATGAAGATTATGGCTGTTCGTTATTCTACTCCCAGACAGACAGATGTCCCCTCTCTCTGCTCTCCACTTGACAGAAAAACCAGGGCAGCTTCCTGTCGTTCTCGAGTGGAAGTGCTTATCATGAATTAATGATGCCTTTCAGGGGGGAGGTTAACCAACCTTACTCATCAGCCAACTTAAAAACTGCGATTCCTGTGGAGTCCAGTCAACTCTGGCCTTCGTTTGACGATGAATGAGCACCTGATGAGTAATCTTAGATCAGCGTTCTCTGGTTTCCTGAGCTTTCTGCGGTGAGAAAGGAAAGATTCCCCCTCAACAACGAATGCGGTGAGGTAAAGGAGAGGCTTTGTCTAGGAGAGGCTGCGCGCATAAAAGCCGTGCTCGGATCAGTGGGAGAACCGCATTTTCCTTTTAGCAACTTCAGAGGGTGATAGGTACATGGACGAAGGCTTCTAAGTGCTCCTCAGTGGTCAACACCTTTCTAGAAGAAATCCACAACTGTGCGAAAGGGGGGGGGGGTGCTCTTTCTTTGTGGCTCTACATTCACTGATTTAATGGATATGATCTGGTCACAGTGGAAAACGAAAGGGTGACAGAGTGCACACACACAAAAAAAATCCATGCTATCGCTGTTATGGACGGATAGTCATACTGCATGTAAAGCAGGCCTTTTGTGGACATGACCCGGCAACCATTTATCTGCACCCTCACAGAGAATCTACCGCGTAGTACACAGAGACACACAACTACACAAGTATACCGGGAATATATTTGAGAATGACGACTTACCAGAAATTGACCAGGAAAGGGTGCTCGAGGTTCTGCATGATCTGGAGCTCTTTCAGGACGTTCCTCACCTCGTTCCGCTCAACGCATTTCAACTTGTTCATGTACTTCATGGCGTACATCTTCTTGGTGTCTTTCTTCTGCACTATGCAGACCTGCCGAGATCACATAACAGCCATTTACTTGATAGAAATGCAAGGCTTCAGTTGTATTAGATTAAAAAATAATTATGAATGATTTTTTTTGCATAAAATACCACAAAGGGTCTTTAGTCTATGCAGGGACTTGTTGTCTAATTCAAAGCACATTCAGCATCTAATAGCAACACAACTCTACTCTTATCTGAGTTTGATTTCTAACCCGAACTAAGTGATTACGCTACCCAAAACCAAAAGTAATGGTGTTTGCAGTCATTTGTGGGTTTAATGTTAATCATGGGCGGCACGGTGGTGTGGTGGTTAGCACTGTCGCCTCCCAGCAAGAGGGTTCTGGGTTCGAATCCCGGTGAAACCAGGACCCTTCTGGGTGGAGTTTGCATGTTCTCCCTGTGTCTGCGTGGGTTCTCTCTGGGTTCTCCGGCTTCCTCCCACAGTCCAAAAACCTGCATGTTAGGTTGATTGGAGATTGGGGAAATTGCCCTTAGGAGTGAATGTGAATGTGAGTGTGAGTGGTTGTTTGTCCTTGTATGTCCTGTGTGTGGCCCTGCGATGGACTGGCAGACTGTCCAGGGTGTACCCTGCCTCTCGCCCTTTGACCACTGGGATAGGGTCCAGTTCCCCCCGCGACCCCATCAGGGAATAAGCGGTATTGATAATGGATGGATGGATGTTAATCATTGGGGAATGTTAATCATTGGGGAATACAGTCTAGTCTTGTAAAATAAATAGGATGATCAATTTGAGTAATTGCTGAGCATAACACGTGGTTCAATCTGAGATTTGAGTTATTGACACTTGTTGTATGTCAAACAGACCTCTACATGAGTGTTACCTTTTGACGCGCATAGTTCCAACATGCGTACGGCCGTTTATTTGTAGTTGCGCTTGTCTGCGCTGCCAGCATCAATGAGCCATTGATTACCGCCATCTAAGAGAGGGATCTGTGGACCAGCTGGCACGATTAATCAGCCGAGCCCTGATCGCATCACTCGGGGCATCGGGCAGCTTGCCATCTACCGTGATTACGCTGCTTATCTTTTGTTAGACAGCGTGTTGTGTGGGCCTGCAAGTCAGTGTAAAATGTGCGTCCCCTATATGTGCCTTGCAGAGCTCTGGGTTTGGATTGGAACTACACCGCACTACGTGACTCAGCAGCAGGAAGGAGGTTGACTGCTGTCACCTGAGATTGATTTTTGTGATGCTGCGCGCATTCTTTTTCTTTTTTTAAAGGAAAAACCAGGGAAGCCGTGTATGGAAGGGTCGCTCAGGCAGAGGGAGAGAGAAGTGCGACTGCTATTATCTTTTTCTGTGACGACTACGCGGCCATATGTTCCAAGGGACCAGATGTACCAAACAGTGTGAATTCACAACTGAATCTGTGTGCACAGTATGTACAAAGTCAATAATCTGCAAAAGCATTTTTTAAAATCTATTTATCTTTAACAAATCTCAAGCATCATAAAGTCTCATTTCCATATTAGTCTTTAGAATGTACTTTTTTACTCAGAATTTCTGCACATTTTAATGGAAATAACTGTAAAAGAATAAATAACTATTTTATTTTTCTTGGTATCAGTTATTTTCACAACTGAGTTTAGGATCCAAATTCAGGACTTTAAACAGATATGACTATAGGCAGTCTTTGGGTTAATAAATTTCATTCAAATAAATAACAAAAAGACTAATGACTCGCTGACTGGAGAGCTGACAGAGGATCGATGCAACAATAAAACACAATGGTCTGCCAAACAAAGAAGGAATTGAGGTAGGTGTGGAAAATCAGCAAAATAAGCCATTTGTGAGGTGTCTGGTTCCCTGAGTCGGGTTTTGCCAGAGGAGTTTTTTCTTCCCACAGATGCATAGTGCATGCTCAGGATTGGGGATTCCATTGTAGAGACACTTCCCTCCAAACTGCTGTTTCCGTCAGCCGGAAAACTCTTTTGCAGTTGAATGTAAAACATTTGGAATCTAATGAACTGTAATTGTTGGATTGCGACTATATTACAATGAGTTACATTCTAACTGACTTGAAGTGCCTTGACATAATGTTAATTAACCAAATTAAGCCAAACTGAACTTATTTACAAAATAAGTCAGAAAGTAACGAGACACAAGTAAGTCTAAGAATGCAGACTAATAGAATCATTAATGCCCACATGTTCAACTGGATTGAGTTAGAAAAATAACAATAATAAATTAATAAAAATAATAATATTTACCACCTATTTCCTGGATGTTAAATTTCAAATCCTAATAATGGTGCTTGGACACTTGAAAGGATAAGGTAAAAAATGGTATAAGCTAGCACAATTTTAATTTATTATTATATTTCATTTTACATACCAGTTTTAAAATGTTTTTTATTACGTTCATATTTTAAAACAGTCCAACTCAAGCAAGGCATTTATAGAAAATCTCAAATAATCAATCCAGTTCAGTATAAAAAAGAGACTTGAGCAGATATGAACTTACCTTCCCAAAACTCCCTTTTCCAATGGCCCTCAAGATCTGGAAATGGTCAAAATTTACTGCATGGAGAAAAAGAAGGGAAACGTATTGTTCAAGTTATTCGAAACTTGAAGCAGTATTTCAAATCTTATTCATCATCATAAAAAAATGAATGTCATTATTTTGATATCTTGTTGTGTCTGGTTTACCAAAGTAAGCAAAGACAGAATGCATTTGAGGGTTTTGAAAAATAATTTGAATCACACGTTGAAGTGAAATACTACACAGGCCAAATGTCAAATATTAAATCTTTTTTCAATATCTGCATTCATATGAATTCTAACTCTAATTTAAGTAGTCTGATAGGTATGTTACATTATGCAAATAAAAAACATATCAAAACACAAGGAACCTGAAAGCTTTAGTAAACCTCACTTGAAACAGGTCACTTATTAATTAGTTATAAAAGAGCATTCTGAGAAAATAAAATGCAGATACTAAAGAATCCAGGGAGATACACAAAGAACACAACTGAAAACCCAGACTGAGGTGGCACTATTCCAGGAAAATGGTACAATTTTGATTCAGTGGTACAAATCACTGCCTGTGGAAATGTCAATCAGTAAGCAGAGTACACAAAGTCAGAATTTCACCATGTGAAGAAAAACAGAAATGCTAGGAGTGCAGCATTTTCTCTAGGCTAGAGCTCACTGGAGTTGTGGCCTGGGTACTGATGAATCAAGACTTTTAACCTAAGCCATCCTGCTCTGTGTAAATATAGGCTAAATATAGGTAAATATAGGCTAAAAAAACTTGGAAAAAAGTCACTGCACACATGCACATCTTTAAAGGTATCTTTGAGGCACTGCCAATGAAAAGAGCAGAATGTATAGGGGGGTGAGAGACATTTAGTTACACGTTCCCTGATATTTGCTTGTTTGAACAACGGTTTCAATAAAATGAGGCAGCTGGAGGTTTCCAGGGTAACAAGGAGTCACTGACATAAACAACCTTCAGCCCAAAAGGTGTCTTGTATGACATCTGCATGTTTTCTCCTAGAGAGCCTTTTCACAAATGTCAATGAAAGCTCTCCTTTCGACAGCGCTTCCCTCATTTCCTTATCAGGCAGGTTTCACACGCACACACACACACACACTCACACGCACACACACACTCTAAATGACAGCATTCTCCTCTATCTGTCAGCGACATTTATCGGCAATTGGAACCGGATGGGGCTGTTTGTTTCTTGCTGTCATGACAACGAGGACAGACGGTTTTCCCTCTACCGCTTCCCCGAGGACGGAACAGCTGCTGCCCACTATTAGCGCTCATCAGAACACGCACACGCACGCACACACACACCAACACACACACACACACCGCCTGACACAAGGATGATGCCACACAAACATTCACAACTGCAATCAAATTCATTATCGGAAAACACAAAGGCACACGTTTATTGGACATATAGTGCTGACTTTAAATATTACCTGCCACTTCAGCAGCAGAACAGCATACACTCACACACACACACACACACTTACACACACACGCACACCCACACAATCTGCCTGTGGTCATTGGGACTATTGGATGTGACAGTTAATGTTATGCTCTGTTAGTCACGTAGCAGCGGCACTTCCTCGTCTCGCACTATCTCTGTTGGAGTGTTTACACAACGTGCACTTATAAGGTCCATACGAGGCCGGGTTAATAACCCACAAATTACACACGACAATGACACTGGATAACCTCAGTGCATACACAGAAACGGTTCAGAGTATTTTTTTGCCGGTTTGCTGCTGGACTACTTTGAGATTTTGTTCTGGGGGAGATGTTTGGAGACACAGATGACACCAACAGGTAGGACAAAGAGAAGACTTCAGCTAATTCTTTAACTATATGCGCTTTGATGTGCTGTTTCAAATGGTGAACACGTGAAAATGACATGTAGTAATCGACAACTCACACGAGTCGAACTGACACGGCTGACAGCCTCTCTGTGATTTAAACATCTGAGTAAATCATGTGACTGTGGAACTCATCTGCTTGTCCATTTTAATTTGACTGACATATGCTAATTAGTGTGGACTGAAGTAATCACGCTTATTAGTTTCACGCTTTCACAATCTCACAACATGACTATCGTGCATAACGTGTGTGTTTATTTTCGCTCTGTATCAGAAGGACCATGCTAAGCTAAGGAGTGATGGATCGGGGGATATGGATTGATGTGTATTCCATCCATAAAAAAAGGACTAACAATGTTTTTCCTTCTTCATAAGGTAAGTTGGGAAAGACAGAAATATATGAAATGGTCAAAAATACAATCCATTTCCAAAATAATTAGGATCACTGCGTGAAATCACTGTGAGATTTTTCCATTTTTATCCAATGAAGAAGATTTGCTCATCTTGAATTTATAGGAAACGATTCTCAAAAAAAGGGGTTTGCTGAGTTGCTTTCCACTGTGGAAGTCGGTTTTAAGAGTCAGACACTGCAGACCAATTGTTTAAACTTGGGGAGAGAAATATTGCCCCATCCAAGGGAGTTTTTTATTTGACAAAGTGTAAGTCTAAAGTAAAACAAAAAAGCTATAATAATAGTGGCAGTGGAAAAAAAGCTAAACATATTAAGTAGCTATCTATCTTTAACAGATGAATGCCATTTCCATTCATTAAATCCAAAAAAACAAGGTCAGTACTTTGGTACTGAGCATGCAAAGAGATTGGAATCCTCTACTCCCAATATTTAAAAAAAATAAAACAGTTGCCTAATTGAAAACTGGCATTACTTTATTATTATCAGTGATGATAATGGTGGGAAACAGGTTAATGACAACTTCAAAAACACGCAGCTCATTGTGGAAATAATGCCTCACCCTATTTCTCCCTGACTGTACCTTTCATTGTTCTGACAGAGAAACCTTTAAATCACGGGAGGGTCCAGCAGCGTCGGGGAAATCATTATTTATGTGGTTGCTCTGCCAACCGTAACAGAACCCCTGCGTCCCTGTGCCACAGCGACGTGAATCACCTATTGAGCTGCGAACGGGGCCGGTCAATTAACAAGTTTCCTGGTTGCAGACACATTTGGGGACACATGACGAGCAAACAATATTCTCGGGGGGGAATAAACATGTCACGACATAGTTCACTTTCATCCACCCCTCTCCCGTGTTACTAGACTAAGAGAGGCTGAATGAAAAATAAACAAAAAAACATACAGAACCGTATTTTCTCTGCGGAATTGTCAACAATTCAGCTGCTTCTGGGAAGTCGAACAGTTTATAGTTAAATAAACAGTTATGTCTATAAAACTGTCACAAAGTCAGACATAGCAATAATCAAACAAGACTTGTTGTGTCAGTGGCAATGGAGCCCATAGAGTCCTCTGGGACTTTAAGCATTGTCATAATAAGCTTTTTTAAAACCAGCATACAGTCATGTTGCAGTAATAACATGAATGGGCACATACCATCATGTTGTTGATGTAACCTGGTAGTGACGTTTAAAACTCAATTTGCATTTTTATTAGATCTCAAAAGCATGATTTGTTGGTGGAGGTTAATGTCTGTACTTTGTATGCAGATGCCTGACACTCGTCAAGAAAATTAGAATGGGTGGTTATTGAGAAATCGGGAGATGTGCTAACGTTGGAAGCAAGGACGTCACCATTGTTCAGGAGCTTCGAAGTACTCTCAAGGACTATTGAAATTTTCTTTAGCTACATTTTTTGTACATGTAACATCGGTCTTTAGCACAAATTCAGTCCATTTGATGTTTTTTCTCTTTTGTTCTTCTTTTGTCATCCTGTTTAGCCTCTGAGACCCAAATTGTGCTTAGGGGATACAGTGACAAAATAAATCAACACATAACCCCAAAGTCAAGGAGCACTGAGATTCCTCTGACGTCAAAAGGAGAATCCTCTCTGTCTCTGGATTTCATCAGAAAAAACAACTTTGTTTCCGGCGAGCGGGGCGAGTTCTTATTTTTCCTGCTCAAATGTTCTTTTTCTGGCTTTGCCACTATCCTGCCCTCGGTGGCGCTGCCCACGCACAGTCGCTGATGATGCGCTGTTGGATTACCTCAGAGTTCAGAGAAGCTCTGTTCTGAGTGACACATCCAGAACGGCACGCCAGATGACTGTGCACCAAGGGTAACCATGAATAATGTCTTCTACTCTAAAATAATTTTGCTCCAAAGAAGAGGAAAAGCACAGAAATGTACTGTATCTCTGAGTCATGCAGTAATTTAACAGTCACCTTAGAAAAAGTGGTTCTCAATTGTCAAAAGAAAAGTAGAATTTTTCATTTATCGATCAATTAAAGGAAACTTAAGTTGCTCGATGTCCAACCTTATAAGAAAGTACAAACATATCTGATAGTCTGTGTTGCTACGAATGCACAGGGAAGCATATTTAGTGAGATCTGGGAAATCTGGGAAATCCACTTCACTTGAAACTAAATCACTGACTCATGTAACACTGACTTATTTCAAGTCTTTGGGTTGCAGCCAGAGTGGAATTAATTTCTGAGACTGGCTCGGATCAATAAAATCACAACGTATTATCTACTCAGGACACGCAAAAGGAAAATTAATTCAGACCAAAGGTTTTGCCAATCAAAGCTCTTTTCATGCTGACCTTGATGGGGTTCAGTCTAAAAAAAAAAAGGATAATGTAATTTCGTGACAGGAATAAGGCAATCAATGTCAAGAGATATCAGTACTACAGCACATAAGATCATTGGTAAGGATGAGCGTAAATGCCTTTGGGGCTAATAAAACAACTTTCTGCCCTCTTACATACTTCGAACTGTATCTGTATTTGCAAAAATGAACTAATTATATGGAAATATTGGAAGGAAACTGTTGAGCTTTGCTTGTTATTCCACTTCTGAGATGCTAAAGAGACTGCTTTCAAACATAATCAGCTTCAGACCCGTTAACTGGACACAATCCTGCGTTTGTCAGGTAGGACTAAGAGGTTAAAAAAACTGGACGGTGCTAATTCTTGGGCACGACAAGAATGCAGGAAATTTTTTAAACTCACCCTCGTCCGTATCGTCCGCCGCCGGAGTCTTACTGGACTGTCCGAGCCCCATGGCTGCTCCTCTCGCTGGTGGTTCCTTTTTTTTTCTTGCTCGACTCAACCCAGAATGGAACGGCTCTCCCTCATAGCCCGGTCAGAAGCTAAACTCGCAACTCACGCATATACGCACACCCTCTGGTGCCGGGGTCCGCTTTTGCAGAATTGGAGAGGTCCCGTGTTCCCTTTTAACCATCCACTGTGACACAACCACACATCCTCAAACACACACACACAGAAAAAAAATAGGCTAAACGGTGGCTGAGCACCGAGGGCACACTCACACAGGCAAAGTCACAACTTGTTTGCTCTTCAGTGCTGCCTGGATGGATGCGGGCAGACGGAGGAGTAGGAGGGAGGCTGATGTGACCCTCTGATGAGTCTAACCTGTAAAGAGAGGCAGAGAAAAACATGACACCACCAGCCGAGTAAGGAAAGGCGGGACACAGAAAAAAGGGGGTGGGGGGAAAAAAGCATTAAGGTAGCACCTATCAGATAGTCACAGATCTCGGATGGGAAGGTAATAAGAGGTGATCAAATTTATAGAGCTCCTAAATAGAGCCCTGCGGTGTTCCCATCTCGTCCCCTACATCCTTTCCGTCTTTCCCTTTGTCTGCCATCTATCAATTATTTAACTTTTGTGTTTTAATCTGAGACATATCCCTCAGGAGAACTGTCTACAAGGCCCATGTGATATAGGCTGTGAACCGCTGGCCCCATTAACAGCACACAACCGGAGGCTTTTGATTTACAGTTTGATGTTGTTACGTCCTCTAAATGGAAATCGTCTGGGCTTTCCCCCCACAAGATCAGGAGTTACTACAGCTTGTTCCAGTGCCAGACAAGAAAAACAAAAGCCTCTGCTCCCTCTCTGTAAGCCCGGAGGTAAAAAAACAAAACAAATGGATTTTTCCTTCTATTGATAGCCAGTCACAGAATCAGTCACCTTTAAAAGGTAGGAAATAGTTAAAATTACAGTATGAAGTTCTAACCACCAAAGCAGTTCTGTTAAACCCCTCAGATGGGTGAAAGGCATAAACTGGACTAAGTTATAAGACGTTTTCTTATGTTTAACAGGTAAACGGAGCACATACATCCATGTAAGTAACGATAGGAGTTATATTAGATATTCCAAAACTATAGTTTGGGACGGCGCAGTGCAGAGGACACTGTGCCCGGAGCCCCCTTATCGGATCGCACAGGAGAACATGCGCTGAATAGAAAGTATACTCCCCCCCTTTTCTGCATCCATCCATCCATCCATCCCGGGCAGCCCCGGGCACCTACCTCCAAACGCTGCGTTGAGCCTGGCACCATGTCTTTTCCTGGTTTGCTGCAGAGGAGAGGCAACGGCGGAGCAACAGAGCATCCCCTGCATCCCCGACACGGCGCCGGGACGCATGCCACCCGAAACAAAAACACACACACACACACACACCTACACACAAAACAAAAACGGAACCGCGCAGACAGGCGTTATAGGCTACCAGCCGACTATGCGCACGATAGGGCGCTGCGCAAAGTCCAGTGCAGTGTTTCTGAAGGACAAATGCGGCCGGAGCAGAGATTTGGACGGGAACTGCGGTGCACGATGCGCCGACGCGCGACTGACCTCCTCATCGTCCGCCCGTGTGTGTGATGGGCTGGACACGCGCGGCCGTGCGTCTGGGGAGGCACGTGTCGCAGATCCACCTGAGCTGTGGAGCTGTGGATGCCTTGTTGATGGATTGGGCCAATCTTTATATTAAAACATCCATAAAGCATCCGCAGAAACAGCTTGTACAATTCCACTGTGCATTGTTAAAAAAAAACAAAAAAACTTTTCCTGTTCCATCTAAATCAAATGTACTGATGGTTTACATTTTATCAAAACAGATCAAGTTTAATTATAATCACACCAGTTTTCTTTATTTCTTTTGCTCATTTTTTGCGTTTTTAAACTAATCATATTACTCGTCATGTGCGTTTATTTTGGGTGAAAGCTGCCATCAAGCGGTCACTCTGAAAACGGCGCCCTCCAGTGATGACGCTGGGTTTGCACGCTGGACACATCTGGAACATAGTTTGAAGACGAACCTACGGCCCCCCACGGTGAAACAAATAATTTAGTCCTCGTGCTCCATTTTGCAGACGCATGGTCAGCAGGAATATTTGGAGGACTAGATTACTGCAGCATTTTGATGTCAGAGAGAGAAAAGCATCTGTCCTGCCTGCACGAATGGAAAAATCGAGTCGTGGAGCCAAGGGGAGCCCAAAATTTCAAAAGTCTATCATTGTCATGCAGATCAAAACAATTTAATTATGCTTGAAGAATAAACCAGTGTCCTGTTGTAAAGTTAGTGAATTTCCCAAATGAATGTGGTTCCTTGTTGTCAAAACCAACTATACTGCTATTGCTCAACATAATCCAAAAAGTCAACGGTGTTTTAGTTTTAAGTGTTAAAGCATCTCAATGTAACCCAAAAATGAAAAGAAAAGATGGACTTGAACTGGTTTTGAACAGTCATTCAGTGCTTCAGTATTTTTTTTACAGTAAAGCTAATTGAATTTACTTGTCTCTCACTCATGTTCATGTCAATTGCTGTGCTTCTCCTGGACTCACTGAAGCAAAGCAAGCAGCACACAAAAGGACATTTTATATGTTTTGCGTAAAAGGTTGTTTTTCTCTTTTGTGGTTTCCGTTTATTGCCAGACGAGGAAAAGATGTTGAAAGGATCTGATGATGTCCACAAAGTCTAGTTGTGCTTATCCTGTAACAGTATTTCCATCAGGTGCATGTTATTAAGAGGCAATGAGCATTATAGAAAGAAAAAAATAAGTTCAGGAATATTTTTACAATGATGGAATTGAGCCACAATTTGCCAAAAATGAAAATACATTTAAGTGTTGTCTCTTTGTCAAAAAAGCCCCTAAATTGGTGAGAATGAGGAGAAGCTGTAAACCAGCAGACCCCAGCTTTGTTCCTGACTAACATAGATGGGCAGGCAGGGACAGGACTGCACATAAAGGAGACGGAGTGGGTTAGATGAATCATATTGTCTGATTTCATACTGTCGTGAAACCTAGATGGACGGTATTTTACAGGATGCCAGTGCAGGTGGTGGCAAGGGTATGAACAAATGATCCATCAGTTCATTTTCATTATCAGCTTATGCCATTCATGGTTGGCTGGAGCCTATCTGCACTGTGATTGGGCGAGAGGCTGTGTACGCCCTGTGCAGGTCGGCAGTTCACCACATATATAATAAAAAGACAACAGAGGCATAGACAAACCATGCTCATTCACCCGTAGCAGTTTGGCCTACTGCATCATAACACACTAAATAATGATTATAATATACAAGGAGTGCTTTGGTCACATAGTCTTGAGCCCAATAAAGACTTTTACTTTTACTCTCACATCACCAGAGTCTTCCTATTCCCTAATTGACTGCTTCACCGTGTCGTTAATCATTTTTTAATTTCCTTCGTCTGTATAAAGACAGATGGGAAGCCAGGTTTTTCAAATTCGAACATGTCCAAACACATGATGTTGAACTCCACCGACACAGCTGGTGTCAAGCGTCCTATGAGTAGTACATAATAGTACTGATTCACTATTTTACAGTCGCACCACTTCAATATGAAGCACGAAACAGTTGAAGGACAGGAGGAGTCAGCCGTTCCCATGACAACTAGCATGTACAGAAACAAGAAGGGCCTTCAAATGATAGGTGGTATCTCTCACATTTCTGATCTTCCACGTTGCAAACCAGAGTTTTGGGGAGGAGGGGATGTATATTAATTCAAGTCTCACATCATATATACACACACATATACACACACACGCACGCTGCCGCTTTCTTCATGCCTGTTACTTGAATGACTGTATTGTAAATATTGCACATTACAATTGATCACTTTTCTTATTTATCATGTCACATAATTTTCTTATTATATGTCTAATTTATCTAACTTATCTAATTTATGTCTGTGTCTGCACGGGAGAGCAAGAAACGAAATTTCAATTCTTTGTATGACCAACACATGTAAAGAAATTGACAATAAAGCCTACTTGACTTGACTTGATATATCAATTTTTGCGACTATTTGCTACCAAACGCTGTCCACGGGCGTCCACTGCGAGGACTGGACAGTCACCAGAGTCCCCCGCTCATCCAGTGAGCCAAGGTCAGAAGGAGAATGGCTCAGTGTTGGAACTGGTGGATGAAAGATATGCTTACAGTGCACAGTGCTCATTCTCCCCCCTTTGTGCTCCCTCTTGCCAAGACTCACTCTGTGTTGGCCATCCGTCTTCACATGACCAAGATCCCGGCACACAATGAAAAGTGACGAGCATCACTCAAGACCAAGCCAGTCCCTTATTAAGTATTTGGCAGCATCAGGAGGCATTTTTGTCTTTTAGATGCATGGTGAGTGATGAATGATGACTTATGAATGAATGACTGAATGAATGATGTGCCATAATACTCTTTGACAGTGGTTAAATTAAGCCGCTGCTAATGCGGAGGACCAGGGTAAGATTAAATTCAGTCATTTTTGTCTAAATAATGTCATTTCTATGGATAGCGAATTTAAGTCATGGTTTTTATTGGATACAGTTTCCATTTATGAGATAGCAACCAGGAAAAAAATGGAAGTGCAGAGATCTGTTTAAAACGAGTGCCCTCTGGTGGATTATGTGATATGACTGTGCGGCGGATGCTGGTATTTCTGAGGATTTTCTGAGGAATATTCAGCATTCCACACGTAACTGAGGAATATGAACATCTGCTGTTTCAAACCAACCTATTATGCTTTGCAATAGGCTCAAAGGCGGGCACTTAGCAAACGTATGCGGTCAGTTATTGTTCAGTAAAGACAACATAGAGAAGAGTGTTATATTTGAATTCTACCCAGAAAACCACCAGTGTGTTTTTGATCATGGTCGGATGAGTGACAAGAAAAAAGAAATGTGTTTTTAAGCTTGTGGCCATTTATCACATCGATTCCTTGCCTGGAATGGTCATTTTGAGGATGCCTCACCACCACTGCATTGCAGGGCCAATCACATGAATTATGTGCTCCCTGTAAGCTTAATCTAAATCGTATATTGCACTGGAAGTAAAACCTTATCTTTTTTTACTTTAGAAGTTAGTTTGTTGAACATTTTCCAGATTTGGAACAAATTCTACAAATTCTGGCAAGTACAAAAAGCTTAGTCATTGTTAGTTGCATGATTGGTCCATTAAATTAAATAACAAACTATCCAGCAGTGAATGAAATCCTTCAAATTTTATTAAACGTCTGTTTTTTAAACCAGAATTCAATATTTTATCTATAAATCCATCAATAATCATAATTAAGTGATGAAAAATATTGAAAAAAAACATATTTTTCCCTACACAAATGATCTGTATTAAATACAATTGGTTGATACTATAGATTTACTGATTTGATTGAAAAATATGAGAGAAAATAAAATTTCACTGGTGAAATGTTGTTGGTTTTCTGAAGATCTCTTTAAACCCAATCACGTTCTGTGTTATCTTTCACCCAAACTCTTTGCCTGACATTCTTCTGTAATTGTATTGTTTTGCTGAGAAAGAAGGGGTGTGTTAAAATCCGTCCTCCTGCATACGTGGCCACACATATGCATCGGCCTGTCGACTGAAAGCTCCATTGGGACGACAGAAGCCAGCGAGCCATGTCGATTTTAAACCGCTCCTTGCTCGTCCTGGTCCTGGTGTCACCGGCGCTGACCTCCCCTTTCTTCCCACCAACGTGTTACACTAAAATTCTGAACATGGCCCGGGAGCTCACCCAGATGGCCGCGGACGTGAAGAGGGACCCTGAAACTGTAAGTCCCCTGAAATCAGCTTTAAAGCTTTGGTGTTTGTGTATCTTTCACAGCTAGTTTTCTTTTTTTCTTATCAATCAGAGCCACTGCATGGCCCACATGCCGGATCTGTACATTGACGTCCATGTAAGTAGGACTTCACATGAATCAGAATCAGAATCAGAATCAGAATCAGAATCAGAATAAGGATTATTGGCAAGTAGGTTTTTCACTTACAAGGAATTTGCCTTGGTGTTTTGGTGCACAACACTTCTATGACAAGCAAGAAAGGACATACAATGTAGAAATTAAAATACAGAACAGAAATGATAAAACTAAAAAGTACAATCTTTAAAAATATAGATCTGAACGTACAAATGAACAATTGAAATAAGATGACAGTAAGATGTAAAAAAATGAGCCAAGTTGAGAAACATAAAGTAACCAAACATGGTTTTTAGATGAACCTTTGGGGTTGCCTGGCTGCAGGTGGACTTTGTTTTATTTTAGTTGCTCTCCCCCCAACAGAATGCTTGCGTGATGCACAAAATGAGCGCCTACATCACCTTAGTGGAGGGCCTGAGGCAGCGTCGCTGCGCCTACACCCGGGAGGTGAGGAAGCTGGGGGTCACCATGAGGCAACTCTTCATCATCATGTCGCAGAAATGTCACGGGGTAAGACGCGGCGCTGCTTAAACGGTGTTTTAAGGCTCAGTGCTAGCTCCGAAATGTGTGTGTTTTCTTTACTGGAGGCTGGCCAGGTTGCTACTATCTATGTTTGTTTACTTTGCATTCAGCAGCCACGCCAACGAGTCTCCTAACCACTTCTGGAAAGCAGGAAAACAACCATCATTGCTGGCTGCACCACAAGTCTTATGGGGTTACACTCTAATTGTCTAAATTAAATGGATGAGCAGCACTGCAAAAGCCTGGTCGGCTTGCAGAGAAAAATAAAGAAACCGTTAGCATCTTTGGACAACTAGTTACCCAAATAAGTCAAAGTGTTATCTACATTAGATGTTTTTATATCAGTCTGAGACGTAATGATATTTAATTTGAAACTCACCGATAATAAAAAGCAATGTATGTAATAACCTGTTGCTAAAAGTGAGTCCTTGCAGATCCGAGGAGTCGTTGACAGGGCGGTTGTTTTCTCCAATGAAACACAGAAATAAAGACTTGGCGGTTGTGTGGTGGTCAGAAAGCAGTTAGCATGGGGTTGGAAGGCCGAGCGCCTTCCTGTGTTGAATTTTCATGGGTCGTCTCTGGCTACAGCCTACAAATCCTTTTGTGGCTAATCAGTGACTAAAGAAAAACCCAGAAAAACCTTGGGGTTCATGTAATAGACTCAATACCTGTTTACGGTGCTAGCCACCTCTCACCCAGTGACAACACAGTTAAGCTCTGGATCTCTTGTGACCATGAACTAATGAATGGATCAGAAGAAATAAAGAAGCTTACAGGTTTATCTGCTAAAGCACCAAAGGAGATCATCAGTTATTACTTGTGAACAGGTGGACATGGACATTTTTAGCCCTTTTCTAATTGCTTGAGGTTTGATGGTGATAATGTCTATTTTGTGTTAAGATGATACATCTTATAGATGCACAAATCTTCCATTGTTTTGCTGGGTTTTTTTTTGGTCATGGCCGAATTGTGTTTTTTTTTTTTTTTACAGAATAAAACAAATGAATGAATTTTCAAAGGGTGTTCCCAATGTTTTTTGCCTGGGGTGTTATTTTTGTTTTGTTTTTTTTGTCTTCTGGTCCACACTGAAGCCTTGGATGACGCAAAATAGGGATAAGAGATTGGCTGCAGCTTAATGGGTCACTCGGTGAGTGATTTTACGGGATTAAGCAGGTTCACGGTGCAGATTATTAAAATCATTCCACACTCTGTGGATGCTCAGTTTTGCTCACGTGACCCCAGAAGCCGGGCAGACAGTGTCCTGCAACCTGACACGACCTGTCTGCACAGAGCGGAGAGGAGGACAGCTATGGAGGACAGAAAGTTAATCGCTTTGGACTGCGTGTGTCACTTAGGTGACTTTCGGCAGTGACTTAAATACATCGTGTGCTCTCATCGAAAATCGAAAATACTGAAAGTTGAATCGGCACTAATTGTTCTATCCTCTTTTATGTCTCAATAGGACTTGGTGTTCACGATCTATGACTGCGCCGCCCTCGAGCGTTAGGCCACTGGATGCTGAAAAGACGCATGTGCTTCGTTTAAAGAGTGTGCAGAGACGGAGACAACTTTGTTCCTTTGGACAGCAGCATCACAAAAAGTGGAAAGCAAAATCGAAGCGAGCAACACTGATTAAGCTCTCTGCTTGTGCAACTCTCATTTTTTCTGTGGAAGTGTTTCTAATCAAAAACTGCTACACTTAATGAAATCTCCTTTTTAATTTAGGTGCAACGTTGAAATGATTTGCCATTAGCCAAGATTAAATCAAGCACTGCAATGTTTCGTTGATGGAGAATAATCTAAGTTTTCTCACTTGCTTTGGCTTTGGCACGAGTGGAAATATGTGGTTATTCCACCCATTATCCAGAAAATGAAAACGTTTACAGTGGCATTCTGATTCTTCTCATTATTTGTTTCAAGTGGATTTCAGGTGATGTTGTTCTACTGTTAAATGTTTGGAGGGTTCAAAATGGATCACATGACGTTCAATTTTAGGCAATCCACAAGTAAACTTTGCCATAGAACTATAATCCTCAGTCCAATGTCGAGCATCAATGACGTGAAGTCTCATCAAAGTTGGTCACCGTTTTGATATGGGCTTTATAACTCCCAAAATTCAGACAGAGAATGAACATAATCCATGCCTTTTTGTCCTAATGTATCAAAACAATAACTGTTAAGAACAGAAATAAAAGTGATAAGGGCAAACAGCATCTTCCATTTCAGCCGCAATTTAACAACAAAAAAAGAAAACACATATCAATTCAATTTTCTAAAATTCTCTTTTTTCTCTTCCCCTTTACATATTATGTATTGCAGTATTTTTATTGTTCTATCAAGAATGTTTCCAGTAGTAGGCCACCCTTCTCAAATCCTCACATAGAAAGACATGTTACTGGTAGTATTTTAACCGAATATCTATCTGATCCTTCTGTAATATTTCTAAACATAGTTATTTTCTGACTTAAAACACTAAAGAGTTCAATGTCCCTTCTTATCAATATGTGTTATGTGAAATGATGTGATATGACTCCTTATTTGGCTTTTATGGTAAAAGACTTCCATCAGGTCTGTACATCAGTGGATTTATGTCGCGTTAACTGTAGAAGTTAACTGTATTATTCACAAGTTGCATACTTTAATACTGAATAAACATATATTTGTTTTAAATCCTACAATGTTGTGACCTTTTTTAATAATTTATGATGATTTTTTTTATTGTGGAGTTGTTTTATTTTGAAATGTTTTCATTACTTACCTGGAAACCAGTACATGCTACACCAGTTAAAATTGATCTGACAATCATTTCTATCTTTTAGGAGAGGGATTGCTGAGTATTAAATTAAAAATTGAAGCCAAACAGAGATAATAATAATAAATGTGTTCAACTTAAGTGACAAAATAAGCCATGTGGATGGGTAGAACTACCTAAATTCTCAGCAAGAAGTTGTTCATTTATTCCCTGTTTTTTTACCTATGTATTTTGTTTTTACTGTGGCATGAAAGTGAAAAAGGTCCTAAAGGATCAAAATGACAAACTTATTCAAGTAACAATAGATATTTGGAAGGAGAGCTTGTATGGACTTACTTTGGTTTGCTTCTTACTTGCAAGCTTTTGTGGCCGATGGGATTTACAGGAGATGACATGACAGTGTTTACTCACAGAAAAGAATCTAAACTGACAACCGAGAATATTCAGCAGTGTCCTTCCGGCTTTGTGTTCTGTTTTGGCAAACGACATGACGAACAATACAATAAAATAAAGCCATGTCTCATTAAAGTGAAACAACAGAGCTGATGTTGAAGAGATGAAACAATAGAGCTGTGTGGCACAACAGATGAAAACTGATGATCCCTAAGGATGACATATATTTAAAAAAAAGAAAAACATGCTTTTTGCTGTCTGAAGGAAAATATTACCTGAAGTCTCTCCCTCGTACTTTCAAATCAGACTGAAAAGTACTCATACTGACATTTTTGCCAAGAGGTGGACTGGATCTGATTTTAGTCTCTTCTTCTTTAGTGTTATTATGCAATCGAAAGCCCCTCTTGTTTTTTATTGGGTTCTTATGACAACTATCTGCCACTTAATTAAAAAATCATGTCATGGCTCTAAAACATATTTATAGGATGATAAAGAAAATAATCTATCTATCTATCTATCTATCTATCTATCTATCTATCTATCTATCTATCTATCTATCTATCTATCTATCTATCTATCTATCTATCTATCTATCTATCTATCTA